TTTCATACTGGTAGAAAAAGAATAAGTAAAATTAGTTTCAATTATCACTACTTCGGTGTGTGAAAACAAACGCTCGTTTGATAATACATTAGTTGATTGTCACATACGGCTGAGAGGTGAGAGCAGTATGAAGTTGTCCTGACAATGAGAAGAAACTAGAACAGTAAGAGAAGACAAAGCAACTACTTTAGGATTCAATTGAGGCCAATGTTGCACCGGGACCGATAACAGCTACCCTGACGTAGTGGTTGGGCTTGTATATCACGATGACCCAAGGAGCTATGCTGATGGAACGCTTGAACCCTCGAAGTCCTACCATACCACAAAGGTTACCCTTACCCTTAACATGTTTTCTTAAACAAAGAAATTATGCAGTATGGTGGCTTTGATCAGTCATCAGTGGTGATCCAAAACTACAAGACGTATGTCCGATTACACCTTCCATAATACAGGAGAATTTTCGTGGGTTCGAAAAGGCTATACATGACCGGCCTCAAGCAGATGCCTCTTAGGCTCTGCTGTCACACACTAACCTTTCTCTTTCAGGTACCTCAAGAAGACCTAGACTTCCACGGTGTGGGCAGCCGGCAAGTGTCAATCCCAATCACAACTCTGTTGGCACCCAAATTCCCTCAGACCACTATCCGGATGAAGTGACAGAGAAGACAGTTATGATAGATAATTACAAACACTCCCCAACTTACAACTAGACAACACCAAAGGTCAATAAAAGCACGATCTGAACATTCTTATAGGAATCGAATCTGCTTCACCTCATTAGGAAGGTAGTCCTGAAGATGTCACAAAGACTGGTGATGAAACGCTTATGACAAAATATCAAAGCTTAGAGAACACCAAACCACCACCATCATCCTCATCCTGAGCTAAAAATCTTTTCCATCATTTCAATTACAAACACATGAAATTAGTGGTCAGTAAAAGTATCGATCAGAAGGACACATGCACAGTCCGCTCACAACATCGCTCTAAAACCATGAGCAAACAATCTAAAAAGACAGATGAACTGACCAAAGAATTTTCAGTAAGCCAATACATAGTCCCATCGTGAATGGAAACCTGCAACAAGCTCTCCGAATCTTAGAACACCTGACAATTTTCAAGAGGACATAAGACTGACTGACTGAAAAAATCAACATAAAACCTCGCATACAGGTGCATCGCTTCAAACTGCCACACTTCAGAGCAGTACACAAAGAACAGGTGGATAGAAAAAGTGATATCGAAGTAGAAAAAGTTGTGTGAGAGAATAAACAATTTGCAGATAAAGGTTAGTGCGAATATTCAAGCTTCAGATGACGTCGGACAGTGAATACATCTGCACCACTGAGACCGATTCTCAGCCATGTCAACAAGAGTCCTCGACCACTGATTCCATTCCATTCATCTCGGAGACACCAACCAGACAGTCCACATTGCCCCACACTGCTCACACCAACAGTAAGAGGCTTCATCGACTGGTGCCAGATCTTGGTCTGGCCACATTGAACGTCTTCCAACTTCCTCTAGCATGGCACATCGAGATAGGCGAGGCATGCACAGCACATGTCCAAGCCATCTCAGTCGACAAAGCTTCACAACCTCATCAATTGACTTGCCTGTCTTGCCTTGTACCATTCGCCTGACCTCAACATCGCTCATACGGTGATTCCACTAAACGCAAGCAATGCTACGAAGACATGTGTGATCAAAACCATGTAACCACTTCATGTCTTCTACTTCAACGCCCGTGTCTCACAGACGTACAACAGGACAGAACGGACTGCACCCCAATATATTCGTCCTTGAATTGATAGTCGTATATCTCGTTAGTCGGAGCCACAGGTGAGGCAGGTTGGCAAATGTCAAACGGGTGTTTTGTTTACGAGCTGAGATTTCGTCAGCAATAAGTCCATTCCGACTGATGCAACTCCTCAAATCAGTGAAGTGGTCTACACATTCCACCACTTCACTAACTATTATCAAACTGGGAGTACTTGCAGCAGACCAGTCCTGAAGCATCAGCTTACATTTGACTCGTCTCTGACACATGTAAATCCAACACACCCAGGTTACGGATCGGCAATTTACTTGTTTGAATTCATGCCCATGCATTTTGGTCTTCGGAATGCAACACAAATACCCCAACGCTTTATGGATGATGTCTTCCGTGGTTTGGATTTTGTCCGCGTCTACATCTGTGACTGTCTCATTGAGAGTCCAGATAAAGTAAATCACCTTAAACATTTGGACCTTGCATTCAGCAGACTCGGAAGCATGGGATCACAGTCAATTTACAGAAGTGTGAAATAGGAGTTGAGTCACTCAGCTTCCTTTGGCATACTATTGACAATAAAGTCATACGCAGATTGAGAGATAAAGTGGTGGCTATCATTGCCTGTCAAAAACCGACGAGTGTGCAGCAGTTCCGCACTTTCAATGGCCTGGTAAGTTATTGCCGAAGGTTCATTCTCAACTGTGCCTCTGTTATGAGACCTTTCACAGATCTACTTCGAGGGACTACGAAGTGAGTAACTCTAGACAACGTGTGTAGACTTGGTTTCTCGAAGATCCAGGAAGCCATTTCGAATACAACCATGCTGATGCATCACGACCCCAATGCTCCTTTGAGTATTGCTGTTGATGCATCTGACTCAGCAATCCGAGCAGTTTTGCAACAGTTGACTGAAAACCAGTGGCAGCCTTTAACCTTTTACTTGGGTGGCTGCAACAGGCGGAAACAAGGTACAGTACATTTGGTAGGGAACAATGTGATATTTACTGTTCTGTACGCCATTTTCGACATTCGCTCCAAGGTCGTGACTTCATCATTCACACAGACCACAAACAGCTAACTTTTTCTCTTGGCTCAGTATCTGGTAAATATTCCCCGTGTGAGTCGCGGCAACTGGATTACGTTTCCCAGTTCACTTCAGACATCTGCCACATACCTGAAGCAAATAACTCCGTAGCCGATGCATTATCTCGAACAGCCTCGATAAACCGTATCGAAGGTAGTGATCTTGTTGAATCAGCTCAGTGTTCAAAAGATCTTGAGCTGAACCATGAGTTTCCGTCCATAACTCTTAAGCTACAGCGATATCCAGGAGGATCAGGCGAAGACAAAATTTCATGTGATGTCTCTGCTAGTCAACCACACCTAATAGTTCCGGAGATGTCGACCCAACGTATTCAATACGTTGCACAATTATCCCATCCAGGTGCACGAGCCACCATCAGGCTTACTGCACAACGTTTCTGCTGGCTGAGAATGAACATAGACGTTAAAGAGTGGACTCAGCCGTGCTTAGCTTTTCAAAAGTGTAAAGACATACGAAAAGCCCTTTAGGTTCTTTCTTAGCCCCAGACATGCGTTTCGACCACGTGCATATAGGTATTGTAAGACCTCTACCAGAATCGAATGGATGCACTTGTCTTTTCACCTGCGTAGATCATTTTAAGGGATGGTCAGAAGCAGTAGCTATGAAGGATATTATTGCTGAAACTGTGGCTCGCGTTTTCGTCGAAAGGTGGATCGCAAACTTTGGATGCCCATCTTACGTAACAATCCAAGTGTGGATTATCTCACGCTTCCCTTTCAGCTGCAAACATATCGTAGTGGACCGAGACTTTGCCTCTAGTCCTACTGCGTATTCGGAACGCGTTGAAAGCTGACGTTGGATGCATTTCTGCAGAACTCGTCAATGGGAATACTCTTCGCCTTCCAGGTGAGTTCGTTTCCTCTTCAACCTTCGCAAATGTTTTTGACAGGACATCTTACGTGACTAGGCTTGCAAACGCATTGCGTTCAGTTAGGTCTACTCCTGTTCGACTTCAGACAACTGATGTCTTCGTCCACCCCATTTTACAAAAGACATCATACGTCTTGGTTGTATTGTGTTCTCTGAGTTGAGATGTCTCGATGACATCTTCAGCACTAACTTCATTATGAAGTGCTGAAGATGTCGTCTAGACATCTCAGCCCAGAGAACACTATACAACCCAGACCATCCACCCGAGCTGCAAAAATTCTCCATCATTTCAACATCACACGTTCTCATATGCCACGATGCCGTTCGTGGACCACTTGAAACACTCAAAGTGGACCATTCAAAGTATTCAAGCGGCACGAGAGATTCTATATAATCGAGAGAAATAGATGTGAAGATTCAGTTGGTACAGAACGTTTGAAATCACCTTACTCCAAAGGTAACCGCATCATGAGAGACACATCTGTTCATTAAAGCCGACCAGCAGATAACCAAATATTGATGACCATGTCTTGCAGTTCTGTTCCGATAATCACTTTTTTCTGACCAGTACTTACTTTAGATATCAGAAAATATGGTCTCACACGCATCCGCTGATTTCAAACCAACGATGGATACAGGTAGATCACACTGCTATAAGCCATCGTTGGAGAGGACCGGTGGAGGATTGCCGATCTCTATAGAGTACCAGTTTGGACTCCGATCATACGCTATTACAGGTGTGTGTGCGTCTGCTTCTCACTGGTAGCAAAAGACAGTGGGAGTGAAGCCTGTCTGTTCTCCACTGGAAAAAGAGAAAGTCAAGTACATACTCAGAGAGAAGATAGGCAAGCATTTATCTGAACGTGACAACAGTATTCATCCTGAGGAAACCTGTTGCTGCGTTATATTAAGTCTGCTGTAGAAACAGCGGTAAAGACAGTTAGGTGGCAACCTACTCCCGATACTCGCCATTTCAGATGATAACGCATCATAAGCTTTTACACGATTGAGCTCGAGTAGACAGCTTTGACGAGCATATCATGGTTGCTCGTTACTCTCCTCACAGCTAACCTCTGCTACAATACGTCTCGGTCAACATAGTTAAGTCAAAAGATATGGCAAGTATTAGGCACCGGTAAGTATACCTGTATTCTGACAGTTACTTGGGAATAGGGTGCTAGTAAATATACTGACCATACAATTTTTAACAGAATACTAATACAACTCGTAAAACCGAATCGGTCAACTTACAAAATCTCTAGAAGCAACAGAGACATGTAGCTTGTCTGAGGAAAATAAATTGTGCTGTGAATTTGCAACAACTGGTGACATCTTTTTCCGTAAAACCCATTTGTATTCGTTTACTACTCATCACTAGTTAGTAACATGAAGCTACCAGGCGAAATTTAAATACACTCAATAGTGCAGGTACACTAAAAAGAGGACCCTAGATGTGTGACAAAATCAACTGGCTAAGATTTCTGACTTTTTTACTAAGAACGAAAACAAAGTCGTTACCAGAAGAAATAGGTTCCACTTTCGTGCTAAAACAATAGAATTCTCGTTCGTGATGTACATAATGCCTCCGTATTTCTGTTGTTCGTTCCCCAGATTCGCTCACTTTCTCACTTATGAAGTGAATTATTTAGACTACTTAAAAACTCAGTGCTTGGAACTTATTCGCAAGAAATATCGTTCCTTTTAAACAAGTATACAGAACTGTCCAATCAAGAATCTAGATCACCTATGTCTACTTTTAGTCGAAAACCGAATGATGAGATACTTTTTAACATCTAGAGAGTTTACATCACTTTAAATACACTTTACTACCTCAGTAACATCCTCGAGGCTCATAGTACGATATCCTATTCCCAATGATAGAGAGAAAACTACTCCCATACACCTAATATAAACGTAAGTTTCCTTACTCTTTTGGAGCTGACTATATCTCACAACGTCCCCACTAGCAAAACGCACTCGTGAACAACATAAGCATTCTGAATAGGAAGCAGAAAAGCGCATCTCCCATTCTATAGGACAACACTCCTTGACTTTTTCACTCATTCTTCTGAAGTCCTTCGAAATCACACAAGTTGACCGAGCTACTTAGGAGTTGTGAATAATAAAGCATTCAGGTATGACTAAAGCATCAGAAATCCAACCCGACTTCACACGATTACTGTGTTCAGAAAATTGTCTATGCTACAACCGCTACGCAACTCACCATCCTATATAAACCCGTAATATATTATATTTCGCTTCTCGGCACTGTTCACGTCGGGCTTAAGCAAAAGGAAATACGCAAGGTTGTGAGCCTTCACTGACTGACGTGACTTGGATGTGAGTTGTACATACCGCGCCACCACCTATATCAACGTGCAGTGCTAGCCGAAGCGGGACTGGGTTGGGACAAGGCTCAAGATGACCAGACCAAGAAAGTCCAGGAAGTTTCTAGCTCCTGGTTCGAGCCATGGAGGGTGATGTAGTCTGTCTGGGGTTCTCAAGGTAAGATAAATCAATGGTTCGACATCCTTGGTAAAACGACCGAAAATCGGTCACGATAGCGCAATGGTTCCTCCTAAGGCTTGAACCTTCCCACCAAATTTAATTTTCAAATTCTTTTTGTCCCCATACGCCCTTGATTACCTTGATATCACATTTTCTCTACCTACTTGTTCTTTGCATGCTGCTGTAAAGTGTAGCAACTTGAATTGATGCACTTCTATGCGAGTTTCTACGCTGACTTTGTCTGTCCGCTTATTATTGTATTTTGACTCCTGACCGCTTATTACTTTTAAGTCACCCACCATGCCTAGTATATGCTTACGACAGCATACAATTGGGGCTGAAATAATCAAAAAATTTTCTTCGCTGCAACTCTCTTTCGAAATAAATAGGGACAAGTCATGCAGAAAAAGAGTACACAATTCCAATCTGGTCAACTATATCATACAAAAGTAAGACGACCATTCTTTTACCTCATCCTACCAATGCTGGTGTCCTTACGCAACATATCTCATGTATTCGACAGCTAAACCCCATAAAATACAAAGAACTGATACTCTCAGGTGCATTATTTCTTGAAATGAAACTCAGAGTTGTTGCAGACATAATTTATGCCAATGTTGACAGACCATTGCTCTAATCGTAAAGTGAGTCTTTACTTTGTTATCTGAATTATTTGATTACAGTGATGCAACATGACCACAGTGCGAACATACCTTTGAAAACAACATCATAAAATGGCTTTGGAGAATAGCTGAGAAAACCACATAGAAGTGTTCACAAGCACGACCAAACCCTATTTCCCGGCTAACCTACCGCATTCGTTTGATTTTCTAACGAAATGACACGCCTTGACACATCGAACTGACTACACTTCGTAATAGCAGACAAAACCAATGAGTACGCACGCGAAAATAATGAAACAAAAGGACAGAGAATAGATACGTAACCATTGCAATGTCCGGGATTTTTGTAGACAAAATGGTGCTACTGTTTCACAGGGTTCTCAATGAAAGATTAACATCTCCAGGACTAAAACTGAACAGTTCACACGAATCAGACAATAACTTTGTGGGTTGAAATTTTGTTTTGGTCACCTACCGTGGTGATGAACAAGATAGAAAACCTGGAGCTCCCCTAAACAAAACCGCAGTACATACGCCGAGTACATCATAAACCACTGTTCAACTAAGTGTATTTGAAGCGATTAAAATACACCACAGGTTGGCGATATGAACAACTTTTAAGTGGAGTTACGAGAAAAGACATACACGCCAGTAATATCAGATGACAGTTGAACTGTATCAAAAATTGATTGAAAAGTTATAGTATGCTGAGCTTCAGATCCTGAAGGCAACACATTGACTTAAAAATGCTTTTGGTAGGATGAAAAGAACGGTTATCTGGAGACTAACATGGAGACTCGACATAGGACGAAAAAGCAGCCTACTGATCAGTAAACTACTAACTATTGTCAGTTTATGGCAAAACAGCATATAAAATTTCGTTACCCAATAAAATATAGGCCGGAATGCATGACTGCATCTCATAGTGAGAACCCTACGTTTTAAACCAGATAACAATGATGGTAAACAATAAACGGAACATTTCCGAAAATGGAATCATTTATTTTTACAGGGGAAATTACAAACTCAATTCATAAAGTATATTAAGTAAAGAGCGAATTTGTGAAGTATGTTGGAAGAAACTGATAATGTTGCCTAATACAAATGGAGATGAATATTATTTTAAAATCGAATGAATATAATTTATGAACAGTTGGGAGCAGGTGTTGAAGCTTTCAAAGTGAGTAGCACGTGCATTCTCTATAGAATAAGTCTTTTGGGTAAGATGATCAGTAGCTAAAAGTACCTGGGCTATTTCATAGGATAACCATTCTGAGATGCAGGCCATCTGTGCGCCCACCAAACCAGGAATTGATAAAACCGTGGGAGGCGAATTCTCTTCATCTGTAGTCTATATGATTCCACTGAACGTGGAGATGAAGCGGAGTCACTAAATGATTGTGGTGGTCGCAAACACCGACGACACCGTGATAAAGCTGCTGTTTCCGCATCTTCTGCTGTTATATCACCTTCACTACTTCCACTTAGTGACTCACTAGTGGAATGCACTTCTTCATCATCAAAATCATCTAGATCAAATTCGAGATTATTCCTTAGGGACGTATCGTAACATTCTTGGACTCGAAGTATTGCTTTCAGTAATTCTGTAGTGGCTTGAGGGTCAATGTGTATCGACTTCATTGGTGGACATGCAAGTCCCATTCCAGCAGCTTCTGCTTGTAAGCGCCATAAAGCAAGAACGATTAGGTCATCTGAATGACCCAACGCACGTGCGTTTTCTACTGGCCAAGCTTGGGGTGCTGGAGATGCAGTCATTATCTGAGCAATCGCATAGAGTCTATCTGCTAAAGATGGATATTCACAGGTGGAATTTTGAGAAGACTGGTCGGTGACATGAACTACAGGTCGTGAGGTTACGCCAGGAAGACCTCGAACTGATTGCACTTGTCCAACTGGAACCAAACATTTACGAGCGAGAGGAATTTCGGAAACGAGAAGACGATGAACAATGAGATAGAGACATGGCATAGTCGGTACTGGCGGACGACAAAGGCCGTCTCCGGAACTCATCTCTATAGCGGCTGTAGCTGCAGCAGAATATGCAATATGGCAAGCTTCGGGTTGATCTGTGACCTGCCAATCACGCAGGCCTAGACCACAGGCAGGACAGACAGTTTCATCTCCAGAACCAGTGTGGAAAAATCCCGCTGAGGCTAACTCAGAAGCAGATGGAATAGGAGATATTGATCTCTGAATTGATGACTCCTTCACAAAATCCTTTGAATAGATGCTCTTTGGAAACGATTCTAGTCGTGCTTTGTGAGATGCGTAACGCGGCGTACGTGCATGTATTTGCAATAATCCAGCTATATCAAGAGAAACAAAGTAATTCACTTGAAATTTCACACAAAGTAACTCAGTAACGAATACCCTTTGTCATGACAAGTGAACCTTAGCAACTCTACACGCAAACCTTTGTCGATCAACATGCTGCAGAATATTCGATTTTGCTAGTGATAAGCAGTTTTTTTTTACTTACCGAAGTAAAAACTCGGTAAAATATGGAGACGCTAAGTGTCACCATAAAGCAATCAATATTATTATTTTAAATACCTAATTACTTGAAATGTGAAGTGATTTCTGCAAAAATATAAATTATAAAAACTATAAGTAGAAGTTCTTATGACTGAAACAGAAGATGCCAGGTTAGGAGACAACAACCGTGCGTTGACAACTATTTCCTTGTAAGTATCCAAATCTCAAGAAATGCCAGCATTGTCATGAACGTTGGATTAGATCCTCAGTTTGATAATGAAGATAAAAATAAAACAAGTCGGATGAAAGTTGGCTGGAGAGATAAATAAACAGTCGCCAAAAGACATAATTACCAATAGTGTGAAAAAACATAACATTCATGGAAATACAACTCTTGAAAGTATCGTTGCGCATTCGCATATGATCATGAACGACGGAAGCAGGCAGAATAAAGGTGCAAAATGAGCTACTTTGTGATTCCGTTAGTTTATAAGGTCTTAAGTACGAAGATTTATGCAACAAAAGCATTCTACACTCTCAATCTAGCAGAGGTGTTGCAATAATGTAAACCGAACTAATGAACAGAAAAAATGAAGTTGATATTGACTATGGATACTGAAACACATATATTAGTGAGGAAAATTCAGACCATTAACTTTTAACTTTGGGATCACCTAGCGCTAGTTAACCAAGAATGAAAAACGAACCACTGAGCAACTTTTACTCGGACGGGTTAGATTTTGAAGTCAGTGGAAGAATCCATGCATTTACAAGATGTAAATCCTATCACATAGACACCGATACTACATACTTAAGCGTCATATCTTAATTCCCAATTAACGTTATAATTCCTGATGTGCGAAGAACCTACTCAGTCAAGCATGCTCATATACGTGCAGTAGATAATGAGCCAAACTAATTTTAAGGGTTTATAATACTACTTGGTTGTCCAGGGTAGGGGTGGAGTCCGAATCTGCGGTGGATCGGTTGAAAGTCAAGTGGCTAGACCAAAGAGTCACAACTCCACCAGACTACATGCAAGTTTTCGCCTCAAAAGCGGAAGCTCTGCAGCCTCACCATGAGAAGCAAGTATTGCGTTTATAGAGATGAATTTCAAACTATACCGTACACATACCATCCCATTAGTATCTCGGATACACTCGTGAACCTAGCGTTAGTTATCGATGGAGAGTTCTCTTAAACAAAGATGAGTTGGTAAAGTTGCGAACAAATACTGCATAAGGTGAACAGTAAACCTACTTTGCATACACAGCCAACACCTACCTGGTCGTAAGATGCATACATAGTCAGTCTATAAAGCCACTGACTTTTACCCAAAGAACGGACTACTAGTTTTGATTTAAGGACGACGTAGGGACACTGAATGACATGCATCAAAATTGACAGCAAATAGGTGGAACCGCTACTATTCTCCTAAATTTTAAAAAAGTGATTATTTGCCCGTTTGCTTTAGTTGGTTCACGTCCTCTTAATTCACCAACTTATGTTGTATAGTAATTTATATGTCAGCTCCCATTCTTCTTGTAGCCTATCAAAAAGCTCTTGGCCCTACATAGTTAACAAGGTCAAAGATATTTCTCAGCCCTTGATACCAAACTCAAGATTTGTATTGAGTATCTAGGCCAAAGGCAGTTCCAACTATACAAGAACATAACTAAAAACTAGTTTTTGAAGGCTTCAAACAACTGGACAGACAAAATGTGGTCATAATTTTGCAAATCTTATAAGTTGCTAACTAACTGGGCTCAAGTAGCCTAGAACGTTTTCTGAATGGCAATCACATGCAACGCATAGTAATATTCTACGCAGGCGGACATAAAATTTCAGTAAGGAGAACATTCACTTTTGCTAATGTTAATTAATTTAAGTCGTTCCTCAAACCACTGAACCCTAAAAAGTTTAAGTCTCTTAACCACAAGCCAATTTATCCTACATATACCAGACCCGAAAACAAAGCATCAGATTATTCTGATGGTTGCCCAGCAATAGCCAATGCTAAGGGTATATTATTAAGCTAATATATCCTGAGATGCCCATTTCACCCATCTATGTAGACGTTAGGGCAACATGTGTGAATCTAAGACAGACTGAGGTAGACACACTGAATATAAGTCTAACGTCACACCATTTTAACATTTGAAATCGATAATGATACTATTTTGAATTCAATCTTACCCAAGATGAGAGTCGCGGATGAGTAGTCCAACTCGTCTTCTGACTGGACAGTTGCAGAAAAGGTGTCGTCAAGTACGTGAGACAAGTTCTGGAAACAAGACATTTCAACTGTGGTATCGAGCAAATCTGGCGCTATTTATTTCCAAAAGAAGCACGGCCACGTCACTCCAGCAAGACCAAGAACACCAACCTACTCCCACAAATCCACCGAGTTTGTGACTTGATTTACAAATGATTTTTACCTCCTACACTTCATTCGGCCTTCAGTAAACTGACCTTTGGATTTTCAAATGAATTCAGTAGAATAGTTTGACCAATCATGACTACCTGCCTTTCATGCTTCTTATAGGCCAATATTTTACCAACCAATTACAGCGCAGTAATTTTTTATTGTCCTTCGAACGTCAGGTGATTGATTTGGCTGGCGTATTGGCCTTGAAGGATAGAAAAAGTCTAACTACGCTGTATGAAGCATTATCAGGTTGTTTTATGCGCAATCATATCGCATAAATTGTTTTGACTGCTAAGCACGGAATGGAAAGGTCATAGTGTTATCACACCGGCATTAATTTTATCCCCCACTAAAGCCTACAGTTCAGATAAACATTTGTCCAGTATACAATAATATTTAAATATAAGAAGCGCAAAACAATTGCTAAGTAGATAAATAAGAATACCATATACCGAACTCTCAAAATAGCCATATAATTATTTGAACTAGTCTTAATCTTCCAGGGCAAGGATTGTAGGCCAGTGACTGATGTTAATCCTTGCAACTGTTAATATTCTGGAGATCCAGTATCTCAAAAAGTATTGACAGGGGGTGACTAGTAAGTTATTTGCTCAAGACCGTCTCGTAAATTATTATTTTTCTAAAATAGGTATCGATCCAACTGACATAGTTAATCAAGTAAAGACTAGTGTGGAACTTAGGTTCAGCTGCAGTATGGGCTCTTGCACGGATTACTCAGTGGTCTACTGAGAAACACAATGGCATTTGAGGTGATGGGTACTGGGTTTAAGTTTTGGAGAGGACAGCCTCACTCACTGGGATCCAGGTATATCCAGCTGACGAGTCTTAAGTGGGAAGAGACATGCATACTGGAACCCACTCCTAGTTAGGAAGATGAACCGAGGAAGTTTATTTTTATCCATCCAAGTGATTTTAGCTGAGAAATTTATTCCTAATGGAAAGGTTGATAAAGGGAGAAAAATATGATTTGAAGGCAATCTTGATAACAGCTTAAGTAAAACCAAGGTAGGGTTAGCCTAAAGAAAAACTTCTCATGAGCAAGTAAACAGACTTAATTCTGCATATGCGTAGCACACCTGCAAACTCCGACTGAAAGATTCCATACAAAAATGTAGATGCAGGATCCATGTTAATCCTGTGACACTCACCAACAATGTGTTTTCCAAGAGATGAAAATGATTGTCCACTACCCACGCCTACTAATGGAGCTTGATTCGTACACACACAACCATATATCTCGATAAGTCCTCCTGTGTCAGCGTTAAAACAAAAGCGTAATCTGGTAAACACAGTTGGCTGTGACCAGACCATTTATATTCAAACATTTAAACAAAAAACAACTGATAAGATTTTCTCCACAATTTATTCAATAGCTCATCCTAATAGCCTTGTGTGTGATTAGTCGTCTCTAACATGGTCTTGTCATTGTCTCCATGTTTACTTTGATTGGTTGTCTCGATGACTTGAAATTTAATCTTCTTGTTGTTTCTTATTGCTTGGTAGATTGAGTCAATGTCAAAATATCTGTTGATTTCTGACTGACATGAATACCAAGCTTCTAAACATTCCCTGACATTCTTTGTATTTCCTCTATCCAGCCATGATTTATTTCCACATCCTCCCAGTCAAATTCATGTTCATAGTTGTCCGTATGCATTGATATGAGCGAACATATGTCATGACGCCTCACTGACTGTTGGTGTTCATGTAGACGAACAGGAATTGGACGACCACTCTGTTAAATGTCATGTTTTTATGCAGTTTATTTTGTAGATAATGTTTGGTTTATCTTCCTTTGCTACTGTGTCTTTTGGTCTGTATAACAGAGAGTGGAGAGATTTTGTGGGTTCGTGAGATACAGCGATTCCGAAAGGCTTCAATAATCCAGTTGCAATCTCGGAGACGCTCTTCATGGGGAATAGAACAATTCGTTTGTTGATTTTCGAGTCTGACTTCTTGGTTGATCAGGAATTATGTAAACATCATTGAACGAAATTGCATGGATAGCCACTCTTCTGGAAAGTAGTCATCAAATAGTTATGTTGTTTTCTCCACTGGTGGTTGATGCACTACGGTGTGTCCACGCTCTATTGAACAATGTTTTAATGCAATTGATATTTTGTGCTGTTGGGTTGTTGCTATTGTAGTTGAGGATTTGATCCATATAAGGATTGATATTCCCTGTAAGATTCTAACACACGTCACTCCGTGATATAGTGAACCTCTTATGAAAATGGATTAGATATATTGAGCAGTCACTGGAGAGTAATGGATCGTTCTGCAATCTGATTACCAAGTTAAGAGACTTATCATCATGGTGCATTTTGATAGACATTGAGGCTCAACAGAAAACCACTTACACTTGAAATAGCAATGCAGTGAACGAGAAGAAATTCACCACTTTCTATAGTACTGGAGTAGCTGATATTCCGCTTGGTTTACTATGGGGGCCTATCATAAAAAGAATCTTCAATGGAGATGTGTGCGGGACTTGTGAAATGGGTTCAAGTATCTCTGACGGACGACGAGTAAATGAAGAAAAAAATTGGTAGAAACGCAAAATTGCATCATATTTTAAGTGGCCAGTTGAAAGTTAAATGCATTATGCTAATTCTCGACAAAAAATTATTATTCTCAGTTTTCTCACGTCTGACTGAAGATGGTATAATGTAGAATTCTAACGAGAAACTTTTACAAAAGTTAAATTAGCATACATTCGTGCTGTAAGGTAACAGAACATACGGAAAAGGAGTTAAGATTTTAGCTAGGTTGAAAGGGTGAAATTTGGAGTCATTATTAAGTTTAGAGAATTAAGTGTAGAGTTACTACTTTTAGAATACATTCCTTTTCTGATTTTCTCTGTCTTTAACAGGTTAACACCCGCACAGCTTTTCATGGACACCCAAGTTATGCAAACTGTTTTGCAAATTCTTATTGCCTTTTTTGACAGATATTGATCATCATCAGCGTGAACGTTGAATGAAAACTAATATCACCAAGTCAAGGTCACTTGCAATATCATTCAATGAGAGAGAGAATTTATAATTCTACTTTTAAGTAAACTACCAATTATTTCTCATTGACCAAAGGAGAGTAATTACACGCAATATATAGCAGTATAGCATTTAAAAGTGACACATACACCATCAACTAATTAAAACCACATAGATTAGTTATATATTTGGTAAATACTGCATCCAGAAATTGGGAACTACTTTTGGGTGACGTAAAACTCTACTCAATGAAACCATAAGTCGTGTACGTGTTAACTTTTTCTCCAAGAAAGAAATTACATGCTTTTATTTTGGCTTAATGAGTGTCTATTATTCTGAGTATTTCTCAGCATAACTGGACGGATTTTCTAAGTGGATGTTAACCAATTTACAAATGTCCGAAACTGATTATATCTGTTGGAAACATAATGCACAAGTGATTATGCGAATACTTGTAGATTTCTACTGAAACGTGTTGTTCGCTACTGCTTAGTTATAAGTAATCTCATATCTTGCTCACATTTTCATGACATTTCCATCGGAATTCGAACCTAGAGCCTACCACTTCTACGCAACTCAAAGCCGATAACTCCACGATAGAGTTGAGCACACTCTTTTGCAACACCATTATTAACTACAAAATAATAGACTTAGCAACAATAACAATAATAATAGCTTTATTCCAAACAAGACTTGTGATACAGAATAGAATTCTCAGCATATAATAGTCCAATAAATCCATTCTTTGTACAATATCTCCAGGCAAAATAATCATTGTGTTTGAACAATGTTAATAATAACAGTAACAAAAGCCACAGATTGAAGCGGGAACGTAGTATTGCATTAAAATCTGCTTTAGACTGGTGAATGAATAGAATATCGAGCATAGATTTGGTACTGGTAGTTTATTTATCCAGTATCAAAATTGTATCTCTTGAATTCATAATTCCATCTCTGACCGATGTATCGTTTATTCATTTTACCGATAACTTGAAAAAAGGCAGTTTGAAACCATTTTAAAAGTGAACCAGAGTACTTAATGTGCTTAAAAGACATTTATAAGATTAAAACAAATTAGATGGATGGATTCGATGAAATAAATTCCGTCGAAAATTATCGATAGCTTAAAGTTTAAACAGGCCACTAGATCAGTGACTAATACAAAAATTCACTGAAAAGAGTCTCCTATAAATCATCGCTTTTAAATTCTACTAGTATAAATTATAGTTAACCTCGCCTGGTTAACTAGTTCACTAGTTACCAACCGGTCATAAGCCCGGATAAAAAGGGAAGGTTGGGCATAGGGCTAGCAACCCTACCACGGAAAACTAATCCAACCACTACAGAAACTTCAAAGCACAGACAAAATATAAAAAATAAAAACAAACTTATTCCTCGTTGGAATAGGAGAGATGAAATGACACCGGGTGGTGAAAGCCTTCGGAAAGCCAATTGGCCGATGTGTCTTCTCTCCTCTTCATGAAAGCAAAAGTAAGCATGGGGACATGGAATGTCCGCACTATGTTTGAACCTAGCAAGGCTGCCCAGATTGCAAACGAGATGAGAAGATATGGCATAGAAGTGCTAGGAATCTGCGAAAGCAGGTGGAATGCAAGTGGACTCTCCAGACTGTCAAATGGAGAGTCAATAATCTACACAGATATTGTCACCCAAAGAACAACCACGAGCAAACTCTGTTTTGGAGTGGCTATCATGATGACCACTAAAGCATCAAGGGTTCCCTCCCGTGCAGTGGGAACCAATCTCCTCATGCAGGATCATAACAGCAAGGTTCAACTCAAAATGAAGGAAAGTCACAATCACACAATCCCACGCTACGCTACATTACGCTACACA